CAGGGGCAGAGGAGTTCTGTGCCCTCTCTTTTTCCTTCTCAGATGTCATCCCCAACATGCTCCTGTGTCTAAGTCTGTTTCCTGAAGAACCCAGCAGGCAAGCTTGTCGTTCACTTTACCAGGCCCCATCCACCTGAGGGATAAAAGCCTTGACCTCTGTGTCACTGCCACTGCCTTAGAGGCCATCCTCTCATCTCTTCGCCCTGTGGGTTTTGCTCATTCTTCAAGAAGAACCTCTTTTGCTTGCCATTCTTCCCCAAGACCCTGAACAGTTATGCGCCCCTCCAAGCCCCAGGTCACTCTGCCCGTTCCGGGGGTTGCCTGGGTGACAGGCAAAGCTGGCACTGCCATAGGCAATGGGGCACCCAACCCACTCCTCAAATCTATGGTGTCAAAACTACGGCAATATTTTGGCTTAATTTTCCCTATGCACTCTACATTCTCACTAAATATTAGGGATTTGTTGAACTTGAATTAGAAGTTTCATGAGAAAGATTTTCCTCCCTTTCTTTTAATAGAATTGTCCATTTGAGAGAATCATAAATTTAGCAGATTCAATAGATTCCCCCCATGTGATTCTAATAAACGGAACCACCCAGGCCCTTTAAATGTTCAATTATGTTGGGGGTTGAAGGGGCATGTGTTTTCTTTTTACACAGTGTTTTGACTTTAAAAAATATCTGAAATGAATCAGAATTCCTTCCTACAAATACTGGTAAATGTATTTGCAGAGTCATCCTTCAGAGCCCCAGGGGGAAGTTTGGGAATCATAACTTTTATCAGTGTCTAGGCTGTCAGCTCCAGGCTAATTAACAGCCAGATGCCAAGAGGACACTCGGATGACTGCTGCATGAACACAGGGCAGAGGAGATCTCGAGGGAGAGGCCGATCAACGGGGTCTGAATTCGGGGACAAATCTGGACTTCGGGGCGTGGCCTCAGTTTGATGAGGTATGTGGCGTGCCTCCGATCGAATCTCCTTGCACATACTCTGAACTCGGGAGGATCAGAACAGTGTGAGGCAGTGGGGCCAACACTCAGCTCCTGCCCGGACTGGCTCTGAGACCCTCTGTGAACCCGTGTCCTTGTCTGGGACAAATAGATTCGCTGATCTCCACTTTATTGGGCCCTTCAGAAACGTAAAGGAGACGATGGCAAGGAGTATTTGGTGGAGGCTGAATTCGAAGTACAGAACTGGGGGAATGGATGGATTTTAAATGAGATCTAGTCAGATCTCCTGAGACTGTAAGTGAGGAAGCTGGAGCACAGACAGGGGAAGAGGCTTCCTGGCTGGTTCCTGGAAGAGTGAGGATCAGGACCCAAGTCTCCAAGCAACCCATCCTGAGCGTCCCATCAGCTCTGCCTCGATGATGAAACTGCCAGTGATGCTATTCATCCCCAGCACGTGTTGACGGCCAAGTCCTTTTCACTCATTATCTTAATTCCACCAACAACCCTGTGACGCTGGTGCTGTTACTTCCCTTGTATAGAAGAGGAAACCTAGGTTCAGAGCTGGGAAGGTTGCTCAAGATTATGCAGCTAGCTACAGGTGGTACAGCATTGGGACACCATTGGCATCCACAATGCCACTGGCATGTTACCCAATCAGGCCTCCCCTGGAAGAACCTGCACTGCCTCCCAATCCTTAGCAGTAATGGCAGTTTTATTTCCCCAAACAGATATCACTCGTTGTAATAGAGTTTATGCATATAGAGGAAAACAAATGCATTATGTGTTTAAATAATGAATTTAAAAATGAATGTTATTAAACGTTTCTTTTTCAAAAGCATTTTTATTTTATATTGATAGTTTCCTTAGCTTTCTGGCCCATGACAGAAAAAAGTAGTGAAGAAGATACATGCGTACACACACACACACACACACACACACACAAATTTCTCCGTGTTACTTCCCCCTTTTAAAAAATCTAACTTGTTACTTCCTCAAAATATTTATACTTTAATTAAAGTGGCCTAAGGCAAGACTAATTTTCATGAGAGATTACTCTTCACTGATCTCCAGTTATAGGCAGTTGCTATAGTTACACTCGAATTGAGCAAGATACATGATATAATGACTCCGCTATGTAGAACTTCTCCCAGAAATGTGTGGCACACTTCCACCATCTATTGGGTAAGTTGAAAGGCTTTTCGGGGCTCCCTCTTCCAAATGAGCTCCAAGAAAGGGTTAATGGAAGGGATGGGAAAGGTCAAAGGGAAGATCAGAAGGTTTTTACGGCGGTGGTCTTCCGTGCCGTCACTGTGTGTTTCGTGAAGACACTGACTAAAGCAGTGACTCTTTAACAAAATCTGTGAACTAGGGCCTTTAGTACCAACAGGAATTTCTGCCAGGGCTGAGGTTGTGAGGGATGATTCCTACCAGGTACAACTTGAAAGCTCTGTGAGAGACATGCGCATAGTATATATTTCTTTAATAGTTTCAAGTGAGGACAAGACCACAAATAATTTTCAGTTTTATAAAGAAAACTCTCAGAAGAACGACAACAACAAAATTGCATGCGGCAGTGACTTGTATGTTTGTTTTTTTTTAAAATAATTCCCCAATGACCTTATGTAGTATGGAGAATGTTGAAAACCAATCATCAACTATTGAAAGATAAATATCGAAAAGGCTTTCTTGGGTACTGAAAAATGTTGACTACAAGTTAGAATCAAAGATATGGCTATTTTTCTTCTTCTTTTTTACTTAGTTCATAACTGTATTATTAAATAAATAGCCAATAATAGACACATTTGGAGCGTACATGTTTTTAACTCCAATTCTATGTGTGCCTTGGGAAATTCTTAGAGGGTTTTTCCTAAAATCATACAGACCATGAGTTTGGATCTTGCACTATTCCTCCCCGCCCCCATAGCTCTTCCGTCACACACAGAAAATAGGGCAGGGGGAAGAAAGACCTAGTGTGGGATGAGCCGTGCTGTGGCCCAGCTTCCTGTTGGGTCACCTTCAGGAGACCGTGCAAGACAGTCTTCATGGGCCTTTCTTAGGGATCAGGAATTTAGGCCTCATGGAGGCCAGTAATTTGCCTGAAACCTGAGTGTCCAGGATGCAACCCTGGGCAATGCCCAGCCTCTCCACTGAGCCTCCTATGCCCAGCCTCTCCACTGAGCCTCTGACTCCCAGCTTCTCCAATGAGCCTCCAACTCCCAGCCTCTCTACTGAGCCTCTGACTCCCAGGCTCTCCACTGAGCCTCTGACTCCCAGCCTCTCTACTGAGCCTCTGACTCCCAGGCTCTCCACTGAGCCTCTGACTCCCAGCCTCTCCACTGAGCCTCTGACTCCCAGCCTCTCCACTAAGCCTCCATCTCCCAGCCTCTCTACTGAGCCTCTGACTCCCAGTGTCTTCCCTGAGCCTCCGACTCCCCAGGGCATGGCTTTCCCCTTACTGAGCAGAGAGTGAAGATGACTTTTAGCTCACCTCAAGGTGTCACATTCGTATCCTATTGTCACAGTGATGCAAACAACGCAAACATCTCAGGAGAGAAAAGAACAGCCCAGGGACCCGGCCACAGGGTTTGGCTGATCAACCAGACTTTTAAATTTTGGTTTCCTCTATTTTTGCAGCATTTTTCCTATGTGTGGACCGAAATTCTTTATTCTTATATGATACTCAGATTTTATCTTCCCTTTGCAGTATTAAAATATTATTATCGTTATTATTCCTAGCTACAGATCATTTTGAGATGCATTCAAACTCTTCTGTCCCTTCCTTGCTAAAGTGTTATTTTAGAGAAAGCCCTGGTTACACCTGCCCCCCACCCCACAGTGAGAGTTCTGTCAATATTGATTGGTAATCAATGAAGAGGAGTCTGGATTCCGTTCTTCAACCCTGGAGCACATGTTTTTGATGTTCATGACCTGTTGCCCAGGTGAACAATGACTAATCTTCCTAACAGAATGTAAATCTCATTTTCTGATTTGCTGCATCTCTCTCAACCCTTTGGGGAGCAAAGATGCATCTGTGTCCTTGAACTATCAACCTGATTATAGGATTATGCTTCCCAGAGTCTCTAATGCCCTTACCCCATCAGCTGCCTTGCAGGTGGGCTCATCAGGATAAAACCCTCCCCATGGCCCTTGACCTCCGTGCTACCCCAGGGTGAACTTGGCTGGGCTGAGAAAGAACATTATCCTCATGCTCCATGGGTCCTACCTCATGGCTGGGGACTAAGAACCAATTTAGAGACAAATTTCTTCTGGCAATTTTTATAGCAGTTGACTTGGGGTGGCTTTCATTTCCTCTACTTTTCCTTTGCTTGCCAACAGCATTTCCAATAAAAATGTCACCTTGGCCTGCTCATCTGCTGTCTCTTTTCCTACCTCTTTGTCCACTCAAGGTCCCTGAAACCCAGCCCCCTTAGCTTGTCTTCTCACACCTTGAATAATCTGTTCCTTTTCTGCCCACTTACCTCCAAGCACAGACCTAATGAAAACTCCCTACTTCGGATTTATGCAGGAAGTAATGGATGCACCTCACAACAGCAGCCAGGGAAACAGCGGGGCTCCTCCCAGCCTCCATAAGGGATGTGCAACCTCACCTGGGCAGCCTGTCCTCTGATAGCACCATGATGAAAGTATTGAGGAAGAAACATGGCCTTGGGCTAGATGCAGTGGCTCACACCTATAATCCCAGTTTGGGAGGCCGAGGTGGGTGGATCATGAGGTCAGAAGATTGAGACCATTCTGGACAACATGGTGAAAACCCATCTCTACTAAAAATACAAAAATGAACTGAGTGTGGTGGTATGTGCCTGTAGTCCCAGCTACTTGGGAGTCTGAGGCAGGAGAACTGCTTGAACTGGGGAGGCGGAAGTTGCAGTGAGCCAAGATTTGGCCACTGAACTCCAGCCTGGTGACAGAGCAAGACTCCGTCTCAAAAAATATAAATAAATAAATAAATAAATAAATAAATAAATAAATAAATAAATAAATAAAAAGGCTTTCCTGTGTGCCAAGTGAAGATTCAGGGATTTCAGCTCTACTGTGTGACAGACTCCTGACAGCTCCTGCTGTACTTGAGAGTGCAAAAAGCTTGTAAGTAGGACTGTCCTGAGCAACCCCGAACACGTGCTCACTTTACCTGCAGTGATGCTTCCTGCTGAAGTCTTGAGGAAACAGCAGAGAGAAGCTACATGCATTTTCCAAGGTCACCCACCTAGTGAGGGCAGAGGTAGCCTGGGCCTGAGTGGTTTGGCATCAGCGTGGGTGCTCTATGCTGTAGCACAAGGGTCCTCAACGCCCAGGCCACAGACCAGTACCACACAGCAGGAGGTGAGCTGTGGGCAAGTGAGCAAAGCTTCAACTGTGTTTACAGCAGCTCCTCATGGCTCGAATTACTGCTGGAGCCCGGCCTGCTATCAGATCAGTGGCATCAGGTTCTCATAGAAGTGCCAACACTATGGTGAACTGCACATGTGAGGGATCTAGGCTTTGAGCTCCTTGTAAGAATCTAATGCCTGATGATCCGTTACTGTCTCCCATTACCCCCACACGAGACCGTGTAGCTACACAAAAACAAGCTCAGGGCTCCCACGGATTCTACATTATGGTGAGTTGTATGATTATTTCATTATAGATTGCAATGTAATAATAATAATGATAAAGTGCGCAATGTCATGGGCTTGAATCATCCCCAAACCACAAAGCTATCTACTCTCCCACCTCCTCGGTCTGTGGAAAAGTTGTCTTCCACGAAATCAGTCCCTGGTGTCAGAAAGGTTGGGGGACTGCTGCTATTAGCCCTTTCGATTGCCTACTCAGCTTCCCTGTTTCAGTGCTAGAAAAACAGGGTCAGAAGCCTAGTTCCCTGCTTTTGAAAGGGCTGTGCTAAAATGAGAGCTGGTGGGTGGAAGGCGGGGTAGACAAGTGAGCAGGAATTAGAGGGACCCCCTCCTGGAGCTCCTCAGAGCCAGCTCGATGCAGAGCAGAGACTTGGCCATGTGTCTTGAGAGTCATCCTTGCCTTCTTGCCCTAACCTTCCAGGACCAGCTCTTGACAACCGGACTCTTCTGCTTAAGAGCACCTGCCTCAGAAGGCAAAGCCCTCACCAGACAACTGAATGTTCCCCGCAAGGAGGGTCTGCCATTTAACAGAGGCCAGGGAAGGAGCGGCCCATTGCAAGGAAGCAATGCATGTTGAATTGTCAGGGGACTTCGGAAAAGCGATTGCATGTGAGGCTTTGTCTCAGATCATGAGGTCACTTATGGCCTCAGAGATGAGACAGGAAGGGAAAAGGCTTCGGCAGGTGGCCTCGAGCTTGTGTTCCAAGCAGCAGATGGCCCCAGAGGTGCCATAGTGGGGCCTGCCCGTACCAAAGGGCACGATAAAGGGAAGGTTGGTGTTGAATTTTGGTCGGACCATAGTGGAAGTGGCAGCTGTCACCTGAACCAAGGCAGGGAACTCTTCAACTGAGCATTTTGGATACTAACCAGCAGGGGGACTGCAGGGGCACAGGAGGCCAATGGCACCATGCAGACCTCCTAAAGCGGCTGTTCAGGGTGGACACACAGCTGTCTCTGCCCACATGGCCACAGCAAGTCACATGGTCAAGCCCAGTTCAGTGGGGAGGAAAACATACCTTCCCCAAAGGAGGCCACACAGGGTGTGAGGGACAGAAGAGTTGTGAACCGACACTACAATCAACCCCTCTCCAACCTTTGAGTGACATCTGCCTGCTACCCTCAAGCTCAGTTTGTGGGTCCAGCCCAGCCTAAAAGCTCCAGGAGGAGCAAACCAAGAAGGGACAGTTGGTAACAATGGAATTGTCTGTCCCATGTCTTCTGGGCAAGGCACAGAGCAGCCGGGGGGCACAGGTTTAAACCTCCAAGTCAGGGGAGGTGGACATTGAAATAGGCCCTGGGTTTGCAAGGCTGCTGAAGTGGGATCAGGGACATGTGCAAAGTCCCCCCCATGACATCGGCGAGGGGTTCAGCTTCTCCTGCTATAGGCCACAGAGACAATAAACTTCAGAGCACCTGCATGTAACAAAATAAAATGATCTTTGAGATTGTTTTTAGAATGAGGAAGAGCTATGAGTACTACAGGTTAAATGAAAGAGCAAAATAATGAGGAAACCAGGAATTGTTAATAAGCACCCAACAGTATTTCATGTAAGCTTCAGAACAACGTGTAAGGTGGGTACCTCCTGTTGTTCAGAAAAGGGAGCCGGAACTTGGAGAAATCTCATGACCGGCTCAGAAGAGCTTGTTCTTTGCCCCATTCGATGTACTGGAATTAGGCGGAGGTGGAGAAAATGATGGAGAGGAAGACTCGCTTTTGTAAATAAAAGGACTGCCATAGGTAAACAGTTCCTCTGTTCTGCAGATATGATGGCTCTGTACCTGCTAGGTGACAGTTAGAAGCACATATAGGAAGCAGAGTCACCAGGAATGCACTCCCAGAAAGAATCCCAAGGACGTGTCTGAGACCAAATGAGGGTTGGGGCAGAGCCTAGAATGAGTCTTGAGCTCTCAACCCCTAGTCTGAGAATCGGACTTCACTGGTGCCTTCACTGTAGTTGGTTTCTGCTGTTTTAGTTCTTAACTGGGGCCATGTCTCATGCTTCTGAAAAGCTGAAAGTCCCAGCTAGCGCTCTCCTCCGTAGCAAGGCTGTTTTGATAGCAGTGGTATCTTCAAAGGACCTTGGTGGGTCGTGGGTTTTAGGAGATGATACCTTTCTACTTGCATGGACCCTGTCAGTCCTTAATCTGGGTATTTTCAGATGTATAGTCACTTTCCTCTGCAGACAGGCTTCTGTGATAACCAGGGGAAAATACAAATCCATTACCATAATTTGCATAATCTGCCCTTTGATCTGCTGAATTGTTTTTTCCTTAGAAAAATGCTACTATGCCTCAATTTGTTATTCTTAACCCTTTGCACAGTGAAAATGCTTTCCAGGCTTCAGAAATTTCTTAAGTGGATATAAATTTAAAAAGACATTCTTTAATATCACCAGCTTAAGTGCTGGCCAGGCCATGTGGCTGGGCTTCTGCTGGGGCTTCCTGGCAGCTGTAACAGAAAAGGCTTGATAGAACACTTAGTAAATGAAGTTGGTAAATCAAATATTCATTCTAAGAACTGTCCCTAAGTACTTAGTACCAATTTTACTATCTTTCTGCAATGTACTCAGCACACAGAGAGATGGGGCAAGTGATTAGCTGGAAGTGGGGACAGGGATTGTCCCTCCATTTCATTTCTAGTCCTAGACCAGCACAGCACAGAGCCCACAATATTCGAATAGCCAAGTGAAAATACATTTTAAAAGTGGACCTTTTCAAACCAACTTTACAAAAGTCACTTTTGACGCCATTAGTGATATCTGAAATGGGCACTGGATGATTTCAAAGAGTTGTTAATTATGTCAGCTGTTAATGACATTGTAGTTATGTAAGAAAATGCTCATTTTTTAAAACAGCAAAGCATACTGAAGAACGTAAGGATGAAATGATCTGGCATCCGTAATTTGCTTTACAATATTTCAGAAAGATGGAAGGACAGGAGGAAGGAAAGAGAGGAGAAAGAGGGAGGGAAGGAAGGAAAACAAGAAAACAAATAAATGAACGAAGGCAATTTCTTGATATTTGGGATCTGGGTGATGGGTATATGGGGCCATTGTAGAGATGCCTTTGTGGTGTTTGGTAATTTTCATAATAAAACAAGCAGGCCTTCGATATGCCTAAGCTTCAACAGCAAAAGAAAACGTCTATGTTTCAAGAATGAGGTGGGCCGGGCGCGGTGGCTCACGCCTGTGATCCCAGCACTTTGGGAGGCCGAGGCAGGTGGATCACAAGGTCCAGAGATCGAGACCATCCTGGTCAACATGGTGAAACCCCATCTCTACTAAAAATACAAAAAATTAGCTCGGCACGGTGGCGCGTGCCTGTAATCCCAGCTGCTCAAGAGGGTGAGGCAGGAGAATTGCTTGAACCCAGGAGGCGGAGGTTGCAGTGAGCCGAGATTGCGCCATTGCACTCCAGCCTGGGTAACAAGAGCGAAACTCTGTCTCAAAAAAAAAAAAAAAAAAGAATGAGGTAAGCAGAGAACAAGGGAACAAGGACTGAGAAGTATTCGGAACATTGTTACACAAACTAAGAGGAAAATCTGCACCTGAAATGAATGCATTTCATGGAACAAAGAAAAATCTTATAAAAGGATGGTTTTCTAGTCTTAAAGAAATAAAAAGTATGTCATTTTTTAAATAGAAATATGATGGTGGAAGGGGAGAATAAAATGTTTAATAAACCGAGTAGCATCATTGTTGGAAGAAATTAAAATATAATCATGACCCTTTGGCAAGTTAAGCAAATGATACAGAAAATAAAAATAGAGAAAAATACTCAGAAAGTTGAAATTTATTAAGAAATAAGAAGAATGCGAATAAAGATAAAGTTTTTGCTCATCAGAATTGACACTCGCCAATCTTGGCCACCAGAGTACAAGAAATAAACCCTCTAGTTTGGGGACTATAAATTGGTATAGTGTCTCTGAGGAGCCATTTAGCATTATCTGCCAACATTTTAAAGATAACGTTTGGCCTTGTGATTCTACCTCTAGAAAAATATCCCATCGAAATGCTGAATGCATGCAGAATGATACATTCACAGAAGTATGCACTGCAACTCTGTAAGTGTGAAAAACTAGTAATCACTTAAATGTCCGTTTTTGGGAGGTGGTTGGATAAACTATAACATGTGCATTTGACAGTGACTATGCACAGTGAAGGAAAATAGTCATAAATATGTCAGTACTGACAGGAGAAGAAAGAATTTCACTTTTACAATTTTATGGCTTTTGAATTTTAAGAAAAAGCATGAATAAACCCATTATTGGTGTAATTGTATTAAAGGTAACACAAAAACATTTTTAAAAAATCAACAGAAATGGAAAATAGAGTCTGGAAATACTGTCCTTTGTAATGGGATCAGAATTGGTAATCAAAGGTATAAAGCAATTGACTAAGACTAAATATGAAAACAGCTCACCTTATTCAAGGCAAAACAAACAGAGAATTTCTCAAAACATTCTGGTAGAATGTTTGAACTTTAAGATGAAAAAGAAAACCCATTATTAGAAAAAAAAATAGGTCACTTTAATTCAAGAAGGATTTTAAGCCATCTCCTTTATGCAGCATTTTCTAAACACTGGAGATGAACAAGATGAAAACTGTTGGTAGGAAAAAGATGGTAAACAAGGAAACATGTAAACAAAAAAGTCATGTGTATAATGCAAAAAACTAAAATATGGCAGGGTGGCAGAAACAGCATGGCATTTACTATAATAATTACTAAAAACGTCTTTACGTCTACAAATGTTGAAAATAAATATTTGAGAGTGAGAAAGCTGTCATTGAAAAGAATTATGGATAAACGTCTAAAACCAATACAAGTACATCCTTAGAGATATAAATACACATATTGCTGACCCACAAAAAAAGCTGTGAAATATCCCAAATAAAAAAATTAAAGTTTTGGGAAAGAAAGTATTTAAAAAAAGATAATAGAAACAACAGAATTTTTTTAAAGTTTCCCACGTTAGATGAGTAGAAAATGAGAAACTGGCCAGCAAAAGACAGGTAACCCAACTGGAAAGTGATCAAAAGACTTGAACAGGCACTTCACAAAAGAGGAAATCCGAACATCCAGTAAACACACAAAAGGTACTTTACCTCCCTGGTCATCAGAGGTAAACTGAAAACTACAGCCACAATGTGGTATGACTATACACTTTTCCTTTCGTCTCTAATTTCTGTTCCCCAGGTTGAGCGGTTAAAGAAGGTAGGCTAGGGAGATGGAATCATGTTTCTTTACTCCCAGATTTAGTCTCGCTTTTTTACTTTTGTTTTTGTTCCTAACTGATCTTATAGTCAAATCATCTCTTACATGACATCTTCTGGATTTTTGATAGATGTAGCCTTTTAAAAACACTTCTCAATTTTTGTTTCCTTACTGGTAAGCTGGTTTGTCTCTCTTTGTACCCAGCCCACTGTTATAGCCAGTGGTGTGGTGTGCGTGAAGGATTAACAAGTAGATATCTAAAATATGTGCATGTGGACATAAGTTCATTGTACCTTTACTGCTAAAAAGAATATGCAGCAAATACCTACAAATAATACTAAATCATATAATACTCATTATTATAAATTTCTCATAGCCAATTTATTCTCATGAAATGACTTTATTGATTTTTTCCTGCCAAACTTTTGTGCAATATCTGCAGTCAACCTATGGTTCCATTCTTGAATGAGAGTAGTTCTGATATAAATGTGGGTTGATATTTTCATTCATGTTAACAAGTGAAAAAGAAATGAAACAACAGTGAAGCTTCACTAGTTTATTCATGATGTGAGTGACTTCTTTGCTGAATTGCTGAGTTTTCTGACAATGGAAGAGTATATTCTCGAGCTTTTGTGCTATTCACAATATGATGGCTATAGACATGACATACTTTCTTTTTTTTTTTTTTGAGATGGAGTTTCGCTCTTGTTACACAGGCTGGAGTGCAATGGCGCGATCTCGGCTCACCGCAACCTCCGCCTCCTGGGTTCAGGCAATTCTCCTGCCTCAGCCTCCTGAATAGCTGGGAGTACAGGCATGCACCACCATGCGCAGCTAATTTTTTGTAATTTTAGTAGAGACGGGGTTTCACCATGTTGACCAGGATGGTCTCAATCTGTTGAGACCAGTGATCCACCTGCCTTGGCCTTCCAAAGTGCTGGGATTACAGGCTTGAGCCACCGCGCCTGGCCCGACATGACATACTTTCATGTTTAATCTGCACTGAGTATTAACATTTCCTCTATCATGCTTAAGACTAAGCAATCAACAATAAGTCAGGCCCTGGTTCATAGCATTTACTGATACCCATGGTGTAAATACTCCGACCATGGTCAATTACAAGCTTCTGATGTAACCTGACTGGTTACAGCCTGAGAAAAGATTCCCAGTGGCCACCATCAGATGGTGTGTCCACCATCAAGATACAACAAATGTAAACCACAAGAGCACTGATAACAGTAAAATGTGGCAAAATAATTAGGAAGTGATACGGTTTAAGTGTTTATTGCTGTTGCTTTTAATAAAATGAATCTAACTGTGAATTTTTGTGATTTGCTTTTTCATAATGCCTTAACAACCAGCTTGCAAAATCCCTGAAAAATCTAACAAACGGCTCTTGGATCTTTCATTGTGCTCTTGATAGCCCCACAGAATGGTGGAAGAGGGAGACAAAAATTAGTCAGATATGTGTCACGATTGAGACTGGAGTCCAAGGGGCATGGAGGACGTACATTAAGAGAAAGATTGAGGGTAAAGCACAAAAGCAGAGGGGCTTCTGTGTCATTCCCCACTGAGGACTTAGGGAGGAGAATGCATGATTCTGCAGAAGATCCCAGACCAACACTCCTGGGATGCCCCGGGCTCCCTCCGGCTGTGGAAGGCCGTGAGAAATTCCTGCTCACTCATGTGGGGGTGCTCAGGGGTCGTGGAAGTTTGGCCAGGGAGTTTCCCAGAGGAGTGGCAAGGACCCGCATAGGCAGATACAGGCCAGACACCTAAGCTAAAGTCAATGGGCAGCATTGTCAGACTCGGCAGAAATGCCCCAGGGAGGCTAATATGGCACCAGTTGGTTGGCAGAGACAGCTACTGAGCTGTGACCAAGCTGAGAACAGACTGTGAGTCATGGCAGCCAGAAACATGGGCAGCAGTGACAGAGTCAGAGCCAGACCAGGACCACCAGACCACACACACGCTAGG